GAAAGAAAGACTTTTACTACTTTATGTGTAATGTACCTTACTTTATACATTATGTGTAATGTAACATAGTAATTAATTATCTTTTTTTTTTTCAATTGGGAGAGATGGCTGAGTGGACTAAAGCGTCGGATTGCTAATCCGTTGTACGAGTTATTCGTACCGAGGGTTCGAATCCCTCTCTTTCCGTTGATGACTTGATATTTGCTTTATCTTTCAAATTTCCCCAACCCTTGGTTAAACGTGGAATAGATAAAATCCTAATAAATTTGAAAAATCAAGTAAGGAAAACGAAAAGCCTTTTTCTTTTATTCTTCACGTCCAGGATTACGTCCCGGATCATTAGATAGGAATCCAAAGATGAAAAGAGAAACAAAGAATATCACTACTGTGTAAACAAAGAGTTTAAGAGTAAGCATTACACAATCTCCAAATCATTTTTTGGAAAAAAAGAGAATAGATCCTCCATTTTTATACCACATATCCTATTTTGACCCCAAGAAATGAAGTACTTTCTACAAATAGAAAAGAATATTCAGAAATTCAAAGTCATTTGTAATAAGAGTCTTTTATTACAAAATTTTCTTTCATACCTACAATTCGATATTAAAATTTTCTTTCATACCTACAATTCGATATTGTGGGGAACCTTAAGCCTATTAGGGCCTTTCGCTGGAAAAAGGTCATAATGGGGAAATGGGATGATCCAGATTTATCGCAGCTTTCCAAGAATTTCAATGTTTGAATCGAGGGTTTCATATTGTAAGACTTATCTGATCTTATCAATTGTTAGAATTTTTTCCTCGAATAAATCATGAATTTTCTAGGATAGTATTAAAAAAGATCTCATCGAAAACTTACAGCAGCTTGCCAAACAAAGGCTAAGAGAAAGAAGAGCACAGGTATGACTGGCATAACATTCACGATTGGATTCAAAAAAGCATAGGACTCGGGCAATTTGGCGATGAAAAAACTACTCGAATAAAGGGCAGAATTAAGACAGATACAGATCAAACTAAAGATATTAAGCATAACAGACATTTTGTTCTTGGAGATAATTGCATTTTGCTTGAGTTATTGATATAAAGAAAAATAAAGTAAAATAAGGTAGACCAAAAAATCTTTCTTTTTCTTTGAACTCACCCAATCAAAAATCCTCCATTTCTCAAAGGAGAATAGAAGAAATCATACTTTCATACAATATCTTAATTGAATTATATGTAATGATCAATAAATTCAGTTTAATTCTATATCTACACGTGTTGTAAAATCCTGAGCAACAATCTAATTTATTTTAGAGATATTTGGGCTGAATTGACGAACAATCAATACCAATATTAGTCTTTATTAGTGTCGAATATAAATCGAAATGGGGCGTGGCCAAGTGGTAAGGCAACGGGTTTTGGTCCCGCTATTCGGAGGTTCGAATCCTTCCGTCCCAGAGCATATCCATTCTATTAGAATAAAGATTGTGTTTTTGAAAACTTTCTGTTTAAAGATCTAATATTGGGTCGAATGTGATTCTTGTTTCTTATTTTTAATGATTCTTCTCTGAATCATATCTTTTTTTTTTCACAAACTGGAATCGAGTTTAAATGACACGCAAATATAACTGAATCTATCTGTAATCCGGGTAAAATGGGAATATAGATCACAAGAGTTTGAATTCAAAAAAGTTGGGCGGTCTTTTCATCATATGCTCAGTCCCTTCATATTGAAGGAAGCTGGTTACTTCGAAAAACCTTACGCCCGTATCGAATTGAATTTTCAATGATGCATTTTGAATTGACAATGCGAAAGAAAAGCTCCTATATTCCCTATCTCTTATTCTCTATCCTTTCAATGAGAGGGCCCCGGTTATTAATTCTCTGTAAATCTCCGAATTCTAAGGATCTCTTGAATTCTAAACAAGAGGGAGTTCTTGGTACTAATTGAATTCAATCAATGGGATTAAGTTTCTTAAGACTGGGTTAGGATAGAATAAAAAATAGGAGCAAGGACTTAATCCGGACTTGTTTGGTTTTGGACCTATACAAGATAGTTAGCATCCTATTTTATCAGCTGCTTTTTTTATTTATGACTCATCATCCTCCTAGAATTGGGGGAGTAGATAGGAGTTAATTAGTAACGGAAGATATGAATTTCAATATCTGTGTTTGCCCGAATCTCATTAACAAACAATCAAGTTACATATGTAACTGGGGGATTTTCTTTGAACCCAGTTTTTAGGTATTTCTTTTTGGCCTATAATGAATAATTGTAAATAGATATTCAGACCGGGCCGATTCAGCCATTTTATTCACTTTATTTTATGGCAAGATTACAGAAAGATTACTACTACTACACTTCAAGTCAAACAAAATATAAAAATGCATATAAAATGAGGAAATGTTTAGCTTATATGTATTGTTATCGTTCTATTTCAGTGACAACGGCCTTTCGATTTTTATGAAAAAATTAGTGACAATTGTTCAGTCTATCTGATAGATATGAAACCCCCTATTCGTTCGATTCTGATTTTATCACTCAGATGAAAGAATAAGGACTTAAATCTTCCCTTACATAAGTCTTTTTTATCCATCTCAAAAAAAAAGAAATTGGATTTTTTGTTTGATCTATCTATCCGCGCTTGAAATCATTGATGATTCAATTCGAAATGAAACAGAAATTTATCTATCTTGTGGTGATCAAATGCAGCCCTTACTGTAAGAATTGGATTCAAATAATGTGTCAAAGTGGGAAACTTTTTCAATTATAACTATTTTTAAACCATTTTTAATGATTCCGGAGGAGTTGAATCTTTGGTACTTGAAGAAGCGTGAAGATTGATAAATCTATCCTATTGAGTCACTTGAAGATGCAAATTAAAAAAACTTATTTTTTCGTCTTATTTATGTTTTTTTTTTATAAAAAAATGTTGTATTCATACAATCAAATATGGAGTTAAGTTGCATTTTTGTTGAGATTCCTTCAAAAAAATATCTACCCATCTATATAGAAGAGAAAAATCTAGATTACTATGGACCGACTGAACCAATGACTATTCATGATTCCATAATTGAATATTGAATCATTTCCATACCGGTTCCAATTTAGAGGAATGTTATGGTAAAACTTCGTTTGAAACGATGTGGTAGAAAGCAACGTGCGACTTGAAGACACGATCCGTTGTGGATTCTTACATCCATCATTTTATATAGGAATGAAGGTGCTCCTGCTCGACATCATTTGTTCTGTTCCACTAGAACCCTCCTTTTTGTTGGGTTGTAATGTAAATAGTACATGGTGGAGCTCGAGCAGAAAGTATTGATTCATTTCTCGGGGGCAGGGATCTAGGGTTAATGCTAATCAATAAATTGGAACAACTTCGTAAGTATATCTTCGATATAGAAATAGAAATCGAAAGAATCCAATTCGAGCAAGTTTCCGCCCAAAAAGGAAAAAGAAAATTGTTGGAATTGATAAAACTCTTTCGATCCAAGGTGGTATCGCGCGGGAATCCACCGTTCATATGATTCTTTGATAGAAAGAAATCACAAAAAGGGTATGTTGCTGCCGTTTTGAAAGGATTAAGGATCGCCGAAGTAATGTCTAAACTAATGATTCAAAACAAAGATAAAGGATCCCGCAGAACAAGGAAACGCCGTTTGAGTTGTCTCAATAACTGGATCAGAATGAAGAATTTAAATTGTTTTAAATGAGACAAACAAAAAAGGGGGTTAGAGACCACTCAATAAATGAAATAAATGCCTAAAGATTTTTCTTTGAGCTATTGGGGAGTTATCCAACTTGAGTTATGAGTACAAATGATTTTTTCTTTGTTCAGTAAGGAAGAGAAGAAGAAAAAAGGGCTTAAATCATAGCCTAATTGATTTGATGATTTTATGGATCCATTTGCCATTAGAATTCTATATTATAATTCGATACATCGAAATCACTTCGAATCATTTTTTCTTGAGCCGTACGAGGAGAAAACTTCCTATACGTTTCTAGGGGGGGGTATTGTTCATCTACATCTATCCCAAAGAGCCGTCTATCGAATCGTTGCAATTGATGTTCGATCCCGAAGAGAGGGAAGAGATCTTCGGAAAGTGGGTTTTTATGATCCGATAAAGAATCAAACTTATTTAAATGTTCCTGCTATTCTATACTTCCTTGAAAAAGGCGCTCAACCTACAGGAACTGTTCATGATATTTTAAAGAAGGCGGAGGTTTTTAAGGAACTTCGTTCTAATTAAAAAAAATTCAATTCATTAAGGAATAAAAAAAAATAAGGGAGGGAGTGGTGACTTGTATATAGTTTTGTATAATTTTCTCTACTATTTTTTTATTTCCCCTTTCTCTTGTTCTATTCATACCTAATTTATCTTTATCATTGCTCCCATAGAATCCCATGTTCTATAACGGCAAAACCTTATTTTATGGATCCTGGAAATATAAAATTCTAGCATTCCCCTCAATTGGTTGGTTTTCGTTGGAACTCCACTAACAAACAAGGAATAAAGTTTGCCTATTTCACTTACTATTGATTAAATAGCATTATTGATTGAATAAACCTAATATTTTTTTTCTATTTTTTCCTTATTTATTCTTACATCTACACTTTTTTGTTTGTATCGATGTAGGTTATCTATGGAGTGCCAATCCAACACAAATACTTCTTTTTTATTTTAATATTATTCAATTTCATTTGAAGTTTGTTTATTTTTCCACTGTATTCTTTTCTCAACATTCATATTGACAACAGTGTATCGAACAAATATACATTCATCGTGATAAGTGGATCTATTTATCTCCGTTCCATAGGTTTGTTTTTTTACTTTACTTCACTCAAATGATGGGTTCGTTGGATTCGCTTTGATACAAGAAGTCTTTTAAAATTAAAATTAGAATTTTTTTTTAGATTTCTTGTTTTGCTAGTTGAATGCTTTGATTGCCACTGCCTCGTATAACTCTCTTATTTATTTTTTTTGATTCTGATTGTATCTACACACCCTTTTTCG